GAATAACATTAAAGTGAGCTTCATATAGGACTTTTATCGTGTGGACAATGAAAGTGAGCTTCGTATAGGACTTTTATTGTGTGAACAATGAAATGTGTGGACACTGGCATCCTCGTAAGCTGTAGAGCCGTCCTTTTCATTAAGACTTCTGTATAAACTTTGTCGCAATACGAAAGTGCTAGTTTAGCTACATGCTCTAAATCCATTTGCATAGATAGCTGGACATTTATAGGCAGAAACGGATTTTCAGAAACAGGTATATTTCTTTTACAAACATCTACTGTCTTGGAAGCAGCAGTTTCAAAGTTCTTAAGTTGTTTCCCGAGAGCATAGATTGTCTAGTTTGAAACATTCAATCATTTTCTCACTTCCGTAATTGTTTTTTTCTGCTTCTAAACGACTAATAGGTCTGCATCTCAAAAATTCTTCAAAGGATACTTGCTGTATTTCCTTACTTCGTATTTAGGAATCGCCTTGGATGAACAGCTGAATGTTAAAGAACATGTCATATATGCATTAATTAAACATTGCAAATGCCGCATAATAATAATTAGGTTATTATACGAATTAAGGCGAATTATATATTATGCGACCATATACAACTTTATAGGTCGAAGAACTAGACTCCACATAAAAGTAAAATGAACCCTATACAATTATATTGATACGTCCAGTATTGTTTTGTGGAGCACCAGTTTGGACCACAGCTCTCGAAACCTACAGGAAAAAAATCTGGATCTTCCAAAATAAAATTCTCTGTTCCATCACCAATTCGCCTTAATTCGTGAGAAATTTACGCATTCATATCGAACTTGATCTTCCGTATATCAAAACTATATTCTAACAAGTTCTCACGACGCTTTCATCTAAGTTTGGGAAATTATGATCCCATAGTTGAACAGCCAGAACCAACACAATATTTTGTAATCCAGCTTACTATTCTATCCAATGAATCCACTGCTTCAAGTTTTTCAGTGATGAAGACCATAAATCCTGACAAAGGAAAAGGACTTTGCATGTACTACCACTTCGTACAAATTCTGTAAACATGTCTATTTTTATCGCTTTTGTATTGGATGTATCTTCCATTTGTAAATTTTATCAATTAATTTCTTTGTATTTGCATAACATTCATCCTGTACTTCCCCTATGCTATAACTTCCCATGACAGTAATTCATCCTCTATGAATCGCTACAGTTGGCTCCACAGAAATTTGACATTTCCCATTTTCCGGTTGCACGTTCTAGGTTAATCATCAGTTCGAACCAGCCCCATTCCATTGCTGTTCAACGGCAGCGCATCTTAGCACTTGTTTTCCATACACCGCCGCGTACCTAGGAGCAAATCCAGAAACAGGTGGATTGTGGATCGTGGTGGTGCACAAGTTGCACCACCACGATCACGATTTCCCATTATTTCTGCTCGTACTGTTTATTACGTCATTCATATCAATTTTTAGTTCGCTTTTTAAATGACTTTTAATGTATATTTTTCATTGTTATTTATAGAACTTCAACCATAACATTTATCGAGTTTTTTGCCCAGCAAAATATGATACTTAATGTAAATAGTTCTTCGTTAAATACTTTTCATGAATTTTCATTTTTCAATATATTGATACTTTGTTATTTAATGTAGATATTACAAGTTTCGCATTTTATTTATTGATTAATTTGCTGTTTGTTATATGGGCCATTTTCGTTAAAATTGTTCTAAACATATGAGAACAATTTCAGTGAAACTAAATCAAATCTGCTTTAAGCACCAAAATTATTAAAACGTTACAATATTCTTAACTAATAGAGATAAAAGATTGTAAAATCGTTGATTAAAAGATAACAAATAGTATGCAAAATTTTATTAATTCCACAAAGAGTTTATTTTTGAAGAAAATTATGAAAATAAAACAAAACTTAAATTTATAAAACTTGTTTTCTTTCATAAGCTTTCAAAAAGCAAATTATTTAAGAAAAGCAATAATAAGACAGATTTAACAATTAAAGGACAATTAGATTATCAGGTATTTTCTCCCTCCTTTCCGCATGCCTTCCTGATGAAATTGGAAGCATACTCGATGCGTATTCGAGAGGTTCAGAGTTCGAGTCCTGGTGAGGGCACTGCACATTTTTTCCGTCTTCTGCTTTCCCCCCCCAAAAGAAAACCTAATGACTCTACAAATGGCGCCCGAACTAAAAACAACAAAGGTGGTGGACGATAATTTCTTCAGCACCAGGATTTGGTGATTGGGTCCCCTAATCCTCAGTCGCTCTTTAAGAGGGAGAGTATATCAGGTATTTTCTCCCTCCTTTTCGCATTCCTTCATGATGTAATTGCAAGCATATTCCACGCGTATTCGCGAGAAGATCCAGGGTTCGAGTTCCAGCTAGAACACTGCACATTTTTCACGTGTATTGGTTAAGAAAAGAAACGTAATGACTCTACAAGATGCTATTCCTTATCCCGCAGACCATCTGTCACTCCTAGTGCAGGACTTCATTGTGGATTTTTGCAAAATTTTGAGTGCTAGCCTACATAATATAAATAATCCAAAGAGGAATGAAAACAGTACTAAAGATCTAGAAGGCAGAAAAATCTACCCCATGTAAAGTTAGAATATTCGAAAAAAAGATGTGTTATGCTTAGTTTGATACATTAGAATTTTGAATTTTATCTCCTTCAGTTAATTTTACGGGTATTTTACTTCTTAACTTCAACATATCATAAATATTTTGTTTCCTAAAGCAGCATAAACACAATAAAAATTTTTTGGTGAAAACCATTGTTCTAGAATCAATTAGATACGAATAATCAAAGATGCTATAGCTTTCAGCAGCTACGATGAATATTACTACTCTTCTTGTTATCTTGACCACAAGCTTTAACTTTTATTTAACCTAGATATGAGGATAAGATAGAAATAACTACTTGCGGCACTTTTCCGGTTTCTTTCAGAATAGAAATGAGAAGCCTTATCAAGCATTTTCGGAAAATATTTCAACTACATTCGCGGGTAGGATAACAATGCAGTTAAGCATTGTTTATACAGTTTCAAGGGACCGTTTAAAATAGAAATATAAATGGAAAAGACATTAACTCTAAATTTTAGCTTAACATGGGATACGTATTTCTTTAGTTGTTAATCTTCCGTGCTGCCTCTATATTACTACGTTTACAGAAAATTTAATTTAATCGTCCTGCATTTAATTTATTCAAAATACATTTATATTTTAAAATGACTAAAATATTTCATTTTTAAAACTGTAAGAATTCAGACTGTTTAATATTAAATTATATGTTATTTGACGCATGCAAAACAGAATGAATAAATTAAATTCTTAAACATTTTTATCGTTAGTATCATAATAAACAAATACATTTTTCAATCTATCCACATGTTACATCTCATCTTAGAAACGACGTGAAAGTAATTCTTTTCCTTTTTCTTCATCACGTTACTTAAATGTCCATCTGTTTTCTATCAGTTTTTCAAATGTACAGTTTTGATATCATTAGACTGGGATCACAGTTTACAAATTCTTCGAATTTCTGTTTCGTGGATATTGCAGTCCTCTTCATCTCTAGTTGTAGTTACATCATCACTTTCTCTTCAAAGTTTGAATTTGGAAAAAAAAAAAAAAAAAAAAAACAGAACGTGATTTTGACGAAATATAATTTTAATCCTTTACTTTCCGATTTTCCTCGAATCCGAACCAGAAAGATCGTCTTCGTAGCCCAGAATGCGTTTATCTTTTTATGGACATTTCCGAAATAATCTTCTGAAGAGGGATTCGAATTAGTTTCTTCTTATTGAACATTATTTAATTTTTGTTTACGCTCGGAACTGAAGGTTCAAATGAACACATACAATTCGGTTTGGACGGTTTCTTACATTTTCAAAAAATCATTTGGTAGGAAGGGCGGTATATCGATCCACGAAAAGTAAAATTTTACAACTTTGCCCTTCTTATCATTTCGTCCCTTTCTTAAGCCACTGTATACAAAATGACCATAATGATCAGCTTCCCTCTTTTATTTTACGCTTCTATCAATCACAGTGCCGCTCAGCCGGATTGATTGCTGTACCGAAGGTCCTGTGTTCGAATCCCTGAGAAGTCATGGAATGAAGGCATGCTAAGAAGGCGGCATTTCTCCCGCCTTCTTACCATGCCTTCGTGGTGTAATAATTAGCAGACTCGGCGCGTATTCGAGGGGTTCGGGGTTCGTGTCCCAGCGAGGATACTGCTCATTTTTACTTCCAAAAAATACCTAATGTCTCTACAGTGGCGCCCGGACTAAAAAGATGGTGGATGATGATTCTCCACCACCAGGATTTGGCGACTGGGTCCCATAATGCCCAGTCGCCCTTTAAAAGGGGGCATACATAAGATATTTCTTCCGCCTTCTTAGCATGCCTTCGTGGTGTAATGGTCAGCACGCTCGATGCGTATTTGAAAGGTCTGGGGTTCGAATCCCGGCGAGAACATTGCTCATCTTTCATCTCTTCCACTTTCAAAAACTACCTAATGTCTCTACAATGGATGTTTGTAAATGTATAATGTCTGTGCGGCATGGGGGCACTCTAAGTATGCGGCGAGCAGAAAGTCCTCTCGAGAGGTTGCTATTAGAAGCGTTTTGGGTGATCCTTGGACTTGTCCTCCCCCCTTCCGGGTTGCGGTATCTCAAAATTGGGAAACTGAACTGAGCTAAGGTCGGCTCTCATGAATGTTGTGCTGAGCTTTCTCAGACAAGTGAAGTTGGTAACAACAGCAACAGAATCATAGTAAGGTTTTCGCATTTCTTAGGTGTCTTAGTTTCTGTGATTTTCCTGTAACTAGAGGCATTATCTTCCCATCCTCATTTGCAGAGTGAAATAGTAAGGTACTATTTCCACCCGAAGCGATGAAACCACTTTCGCAAAAATAAGGATCTAATGTTTGCAATGTCAAGAATTCCTGAGCACTCTCACTTTTAAAAGGGCAAATAAATCGTTCTCTAGTGGATGCTTGGCTATTGTGCCCTTTGGGGCAATGAACAAGCAGACTTCCTTGCAAAAAGAGGTGCCAGCTTACTACAACATCGTAATACAACCATTTCTTATTGGACGATTAAACCGTTATTAAAACGTTTATTTAGGTCTAATATCTTGCGAGATCTTCAGACTTGTACAACCTTGAAAAGCTGGAGAATGATAAGTCCTTCTCTTATTTCCGATAGTCCAAGACGCAATGCAAAGACGGCTTTCCGTCTGTCTACAGGACATGATTTCCTTGCCGCCCACCTGCACTGCATAGGCATTTCAAGCGATCCTATTAGAACACTTTGTGATTCTGGAGAAGAAATGGACAGGGACCACCTGCTTCGATGTGGTCTTACAGAGGAGTCAAGATACTAGGAGGCAAGGGCGCTCCTTAGGCCAATGACTTCGATCTTTTTTTCTTAGTTCTATTGTTTGTTACCTTTGCTTTTAAAATGTTAATTCTTTGTAACTTCTTGCCTAGCCTTTGAAAAAAAAACGTAACTTTTTTTCGCGAGGTTGAGTGTCGAAGAATCCTTAATCCTTGATATTTGTTGTAAATCTGTGCTTTTTACTATGCAGTAAAATTTATGCGTATGGCATAAATTTTACTGCATAGTAAAAAGCACGTAAAAAGACGTAAATAATAAAAATACGTAAATAAACGTTTTAATAATAAGTAAAATTTATGCGTATGGCATAAATTTTCCTGCACATAAATTTTACATAAAATTATGAAATTCCTAATTTATAAATTTTATTTAGGTTTAGAACTTAAAGAATGTTAATGAAAGGAATGTATATTGGTGTCCTATTGTGATGGACATAACTTTTCCTTAACTGCGTGCAACAAAATTGGAATATAATGTACTTTCATTATTGAACATTGTGATTTGAAATATCAAAACGAAGAAAAAAAAATCATCTGCTGAAAAATAAGGGGGAAACCAGTTCATACCCCCCAAAAAAGTCTGAAACATTTCAGATTTTATATTACGGCCAAAGGGGAGTTTTTTAAACGTTTTGTGTATTACCTTATTATTAAACGTTATTTAAACGTTTTGTGTGATACCTTGTTATTTATTAAATATCATGTTCTTTGAACTTAAATCGTAAAATTGAATTGAACAGCAGTATCACAAAATATTTAAAAGAGCATATCTTTAGAATTTCCGATACGCAGTCTCGCGCGCTGGAAAAAAAAAGGTTTTTTTTTTTTTTTTTTTTTTTTTTTTCTCCTCCCGTACAGTGTTGTCACTGTTCGTTTTGAAATCTTTGAGTTTCTTAATCAGAAATTCATAAATGCTTTACAAAATGTGAAATAGATAGATAATGAAACGAATTCTAAATTCCAAATTGGGGCTTCCAGATGCTCATATTGAGATGGAGACTTACGTTACTCAAAATTTGATGTCTCTAGGGACCGTTGTTTTATCACAGTGTGAGAAACATACAGACATTTATGCATACTCTTCATTATTTAATTTCTTTAAATATAATATAGGGCTCTGATATTTGGCAGCAACAATTTAAAAGTGATTCACCATTTATAGTGAATCAACGCAAAGTTCCAAAACGAAATTAATAGTCCTTCTGGCAAATTGTCCCTTTGGGCTAAAAAGAGAAAAGTATAGTCATATTCTGCCCTCGAAACACTACATCCCTTCTAAAAATAACAGCATTGAGACTCAGTGAAGTTTCAAAATGTTTTTATAAATTTCTACGAATAGTGAATGGGTATTGCATATAATTTACAGAAAGAGTAGCATGTCCAAAACCTTCTAATGCCATGAAAGTAGAAAAGCGATATTTGTCGGCAGGTGTTTTATTTCAATAACTTGGCAGATGTTGAAAGGCAGCAGGTAGAGGGATAAGGAAATGCTCTGTTCTTTTGAGCAAACGGATAAGAAAAACAAAAGACCAAGTAGCCTTTGAAAATGAATGTATTCAAACTTTTATTTTATTTTATTTAAGATCCATGATGAGACATTCATCATCTATGGACTTAAATTGTTCCCAACATTCCTCAGGTAAAAATGTGTTGCATATTACTATTACTTTGATCATTTTTGTGAATTTAAATATTAAGTTCATGAGCTCATATATGAACTTGACAATAAGTAATTTTTACGATGTGAAATAAAAAACTAAGTAATTTTTTATAACCTTTTGATATTTTGATATTAGAGCCTCGTGTTAGAATTCAAAAGCGCAGTTAAATTTTCCAAGAAATCCAAATTCGTATGTATGCATCGTTTTAAAAAACAATTAATCGAAAGAATGAATGAAAAAAAAAACGCTTGAAGTAAATTAATGAGAATTTCAATTTTTATACAATAAAAATGATTGCATAAAAATTTTTAAAATATATATATATTAGCAGATACAAATTTGTTTTCACTATTATTAGTAGAAATTAACTGAAATCAGAAGAATGTCAAATGATCTTTTTTGTACAATAATGCAAAACGTTTTTTATATGTTAAAAACACAACATTAATTTCAAAAATAGATCCAATGATTTTTCTTTATTTTTAATTCATACGTACCTCTTTGTATAGAGTCCCACAGGATAATTATGCAGAAACTGCTATTCGAGAGAGGAAAAATACTTTCAAAATTATCTTGTAAAAAAAATATTCCTGTGTGTATTCCTGCTGTGTTGTCGGGTGTAAGCGGTTAACATGTCAAGCCACTGAAACGTTTTACAGCTGGAAAATCCACGGTTCAAGTCCCGGCGAGTTACAGTTCTTTTCTCACGTTTCCTGCTCCAAAATACCTGATGCTTTACACTGAAGTGACAAAAGTCACTTCAGTGTCAAAAGTCACTTCAGTCTGTATATATGCAAATATACAGATGGCAGTAGTATCGCGTAGAAAATGTATTAATGCGAAGTGCTTTGGCAGGGTTTTCATTTGTGTTCAAGTTATTCATATGAAGAGGCTTTGGCGTGATTATAGCCGCACGACGAGAATTAACAGACTTTGAACGCGGAATGGTAGTTGGAGCTAGACGCATGGGTCATTCCATTTCGGATATCGTTAGGGAATTCAACATTCCGAGATCCACAATGTCAAGAGTGTGCCGATGCCGAGAGTATCTAATTTCAGGCATAACATCCCACCATGGACAGCGATCTGGCCGACCACCTGCACTTAACGACCGAGACCAGCGACGTCTGCATAGAGTTGTCAATGTTCACAGACAAGCAACACTGCGTCAAATAACCGCAGAAATCAATGTGGGACGTACGAGGGACGTGTCCGATAGGACAGTGCGCGAAATTTGTCTTCCTTGGGCTATGCCAGCAGAAGACCGACTCGAGTGCCTTTACTGACAGCACGACATCGCCTGCAGCGACTCTCGTGGGCTCGTAAGCATATCGGTTGGTCCCTAAACGAATGGAAAACCATGGCTTGGTCAGATGAGTCACGGTTTCAGTTGGTAAGAGCTGATGGTAGGGTTCGAGTGTGGCGCAGACCCCACGAAGCCATGGACCCAAGTTGTCAACAAGGCACTGTTCAAGCTGGTGGGGGTTCCATAATGGTCTGGGCTGTTTTTACATGGCATGGACTCGGTCCTCTGGTGCAACTGAACTGATCATTGACTGGAAATGGATACTTTCAGCTACTTGGAGATAGGATTAACAGGAACTCAGGATCAGCTGCAGCTCTAAAACGTCGAACATAGGGCTGTAAGATGTTCTTATGTTAGCAGTCAGGAAGCCTTTGTCAAACACATGTAGGAATATGCGGCAGTCCAACATAGTTCCTGTCCAAGCCATTGCATCTCCATTACCATAATGATCCTTTTCCTTGATGAGGGAGGGATGGCATCGTGCTCCAGGCTTTCTCCATATACAGGTACAGCCAGTATCACTGTCCAAGCTGAATCTCGACTCATTTGTAAAAAGTACGGAGCTCCACCGAAGTCTGGTCCAAGTCACATGTTGTCTGCATTATGTTAAATGCGCTCTCTTGTGTGCTGCAGTGAGCGGAAGACAATGCAGTGCCATTCGTCTATACACGCCCGGCCTTCAACATACCATAGTAGCTACACATGTCTGGTTTAGATTCAACGGCATCGCAGCGATGAACGTCTTGCAAAGAATCCTATCCTCTGGATATTAATGAGAACAGCACATGTTGATACATGCTGTTTTGCAACAGGCCATAATTCTTGCACTAAATTTCCTAATGTTGCTGCGCAGTTTATCAGTGCTATATGCACAGTAACCTGTTCTCTTGTTCGATGATACAATCGTTCCCGTCAATCAATCCGTCCCTCCTGCACCCATCGATTCGATATTTGCATTACCGTGGCCTGAATTTATCAACTACTAGCGCCAATCTCTCGTAAAAATTGAGATCAGTATCGAAAAGCTCCAGTTCTTTCTTTGCCAAAATCAGAATTTTTTTTTTTTTGGAGGGGGGGAGATGATATATATTGATGCTTCCTACACAAAGGAAGGGAGGAAAAAATCCACATATCCAGTACTTAAAACTTTTTTTAGTATTTCTATCTACTCATACTCGCAATCATAATTTGTTCCTCTCATGGTATTAAATTTTGGATGGTCAGCAACGTACTTTTTTCGAAAAACTATTAAATTCATGCATATCACACTCCTCTAAATTAATTTAGAAGTATATATCGTACATCATTCTTAGCAGTGTAGCCTAGTCTCCCCCTCCCCTAGACGGTATAGTCTTTTAGTGACGCTGATTACCGTACCGATGTACCCGAATTCGAATCCCGGAGAAAGCATGGATGTTTGCAACAGCATAGCGTCTGCGCGGCAAGGGAACATTCAAAAATAAACTGCGAGCTGAAAGTCCTGTCGAGTGTTTGGTGGTAGGGAAAAGAGATGGAAAGAGAAGGCATCAAAATTGGGGTGGAGCTTAACAGTTAGCAAGACAAAGAGATACCTAATATACTTGCTTGGATGCACAAGTGCCGGCCTTACTTCAACTGTACCTGTATGATTAACCTTGCAACAGCTGGTATAATTCTATTTTAAACATTACTAGAAGCCGGGAGCCGATTTGCGATACCAAAGGACCCGGGATTCAAATCTTGGAGAAGGCAAGATTATAATTGTCCGTTCCTTCAGAAGAGGCAACGTAGGCGCCTCCACAATAAAAACATTATTAGGATATAAATGAAAATTAATTTCTTTATTTTCATCGAAATTGAAAGAGATTCTGTGGTTAGGCAAATATAATAATTATAATAATATTAAGTGAAATAAAATTCCTAAAAAAAAAGTGTCACCAAATTTAGGCACTATACAACCCTCCTTCCGAAAAAGCAGTTTTAAGTAATGGGAATTTTACCTACACTGATATTTAAAGGAAATCTTACTTTAAATTATTTC